TGTAGGTAAAAATGGGATCACAAAGTTCTGTTAACATAGCCGAACCATGTTCGCCCATCATTGTTCAATCTTCAGTCTGATTCAACCAGTCATACACAATTTTGTAACGTATTTTTAAACATGCGCGTTCGCCGGTCTTGAAACAGAAACCTGACGTCCAGCATTGCAGCCTCTACAGCCAACGCAGCGTTGGCCTTGTGGCTAACACTAGGTTGGTGCCCAACAGGTGCTGGTGCCCATTCGTGCGGTTGGAATAAAGTCCTGGCTTAAATTTTACCTGTGTGATTTTTTTTACTCGTCACAGGAACGGATAGGCGTTCACTGCCCTGCGAACTAGTACTGACATCTGGTGGTGGAATTGGAAGAGTAAAGGCAGAATCTCTATATTTTGTGTCGCTGTAATTGTTAGGCCATTCAGAGAGCGACCTCAAAATTACAGCGGGCCAAATGTGGGACCTAATGTGATGTTTAGAAGGCGCGAATTAAGTTTGCGAAACTTACTGGAACTGAGACAAGATTTTACGACTGTCATTCTGGAGCGCCTGGTACCATCTGCGTCGGACAATACCGTTCGATTGTATGGAGACTCTAACTCGGCCGGAGTTTCTCTGACTCGTAAGATTGCGAACGCGCAGGCGCAAAACGCATGATGTTATTCGCTACGCAAGTGAATTCTGCTGAGTAATGCACGTTCTCAGGCAAAAATGGGCTTTTCATTTCGACCCGATTTTGATCTATGCTGTTAGATACTAATGGCACCATTTACCTTTTCCAGGAATGGGTCCCGTGGGTAGCACATACGGGGCACATTATCGTTCCCGACCATTCCCAAGGGGCTGAGGAGAGCCGAACGACTGCCATTCTGGCGACGCTGGGAACGAGGGCGGCCCTGGTCAATTCGGAGCCCCTTAGAGACATGGATCATCAGTCGGTCATCTCCCTGACGCGAGAAGCGCTCTAACCCGTAAAGTTGGCCCCAGGTCAACGCAGAAGCCCTCATTGAAGCCACAAGATCCTTTACTTGCCACATGGGTTTGATGATTATTGGTACATAAACTCAGTGCGATTGAACGTGTCCTTGGTTGAAATGGAGTGAAGGTCTCCCAGTTCGACACTGGAGCCCTGGCCGATACAAGGCTCTTCCATTGTTCGCAATGGACTCTCATTATAGGTTCTCATGTCGTCTTGCATTGCTAGAGGGCCGCAATCAACGCAATAGGGCCTATGACATTTCGAGGTCCCGTCTTTTCCCCTTTTCAGAAAATGTTCTCTGGCCGACTGACCCCTTGCCGAAACAGGATAGCATGTCAGGACACTCTGGGGACAGGTGTCGTCAGTTGTAGCAACTTCGACCAACGCAAATTACAGGCCTCTTTCTCGTCCCCTGGGCCCTGACACGGAGCCGACTGTTCAATGTTAATGGTCTCTGGCCAAAATAGATCCGCACTGTCCCAGTGAATTTCCACTCGGTGCTAGAGGGCCGAGCCGATTGGATACCCGTCGCTCCGGTGGGGGGTCAACTGGACCCCCTGAGATCTCAGGAACTAAGAGGGCTAGATACACCAAATTAAGAGGGTGTGTTGACCTGTATATGAACTTACTTAAGCAACAGTCTGAGATTCCTAGCTCATGATCTACGCATCGAATAAGGTCAAACAAGTTCAGATTGCAGGCTGGTCTCCAAAGAGCCCCTAGAACCTAGATAGCTGTTCTAAGCAAAAGGCCACATGCTTATCTAAGGTCAGTGACCTCGTTTGACCTCTTGAAGGTCGTGGTGACTAAATCATACAAGATCACTTTGAGTTTTGCATTTGGATAAGCGACAAACATTACGCTAGGCAGTATGTTCCTAAAAATAAAACGTTGACCTAGGTCATCCTGGGTCAGTGAGCTAGTCCGACCTTTAAGGAGCTTATGAAAGGTATATAATGTGGTTCCTGTTATCAATAAATTATAAATGAGCACCAGAAACTACCCCACACAGAAAGCCCCAGAGTAATAAAACAGGTTGGTTTTGACCTTGTTCTGACCTTTGTACCTGACCTTAGGTCAATGTGATTTGTTCTTTCAATTATTGCGCTGCCTAGTAAAGTATCTCAGAGGTGTATGGCTTCGTCTAACACTCTTTTTAGATCAGATTGGACGAGCCCCTAGAAATTGCCTTCGCTGAAACCATGGCCTAATTTTGACTTGCCATAGGTCGGTGACCTTACACAGCACATCTTATTTTTGATGCCAAAAGATCTGCTATTCAATTGTCTACAGCTATGCAAAATTTTGCGTGGCTATGCCGCGGCGTTTGGAAACCATTTCGGAAAAGACCTTCGTGAGTCAATTTGACCCCCACCAGAGCGCGTGTTAACGGGACCTGCAGCGGGCATATCGCGTCCTTCGAACCCTCCAGCCTCTAATCGGGCCATATATCGGGCCACCGGGCCTCTAATTGAGCGTTGGTCCTGAGGAGCCTTTGAGGCCCCTGTTCAGAACTAGTTCTGTGTTCAGAGGTAGCGAAAACCCTGTATAGAAAATTGTTGAGACCAAGCGGAAGCCCAACGTAGTGCTGGGAAGGAGAGGGGACGGGCGAGTATGCAAATGGGCAGGTTCGAAGGAATCCTCCGTGCTTTACCTGAATACGTGCTGCCAATTTGATTGGCGTAGCTTCGTGATCTGATAGGATTCGACACCATAATGCAGGAACCACATAAGGCAAATCACAGCAGTGTTATCCATCCGGTGCAGGCTTCTCTTTTGTTTCGTGCTATTCATTTAGGAAAGCTTCAACGTACGTGTGAATTTGACACCTCCTAAACGGTCCTTTAGTTTATCCGATCAAGCGAGTAGCCAAATGTTTCATAAAACTTCATCAAGTAAAAGTTTCATTACTGGAACACGCGGAGCGAAGACTGCCGATCTGGCACTGTCAATAAACGGTCAATTCGCTCATTCAATTCAGTAAATGCATTCACAAACCATTCCATGCGCATTAGTTGTGTATGGTTCGAATAAAGGACTACGCGCGCCTACAGGTGTAAAACAATAGAGCGGCTAGGAAAGCACGCAAGTGAGCACGGTCGCAAGACATCCATAGATTAGAAATAACAGACCGGATGATCGGAGTGGATGCACGTTAAATCGAGCTTAGCTCCGAGAGGTCGTGGTAGCCGGTGGCAGCTCAGCTCCGAGAGGCCGCGGTGACCGGCGGCAGCTCAGCTCCGAGAGGCCGCGGTGGCCAGCGGCAGCTCAGCTCCGAGAGGCCGCGGTGGCCAGCGGCAGCTCAGCTCCGAGAGGCCGCGGTGACCGGCGGCAGCTCAGCTCCGAGGGTCCGCGGTGACCGGCGGCAGCTCAGCTCATAGAGGCCGTGGTGCCCGGCGGCAGCTCAGCTCCGAGAGGCCGTGGTGGCCAGCGGCAGCTCAGCTCCGAGAGGCCGCGGTGGCCAGCGGCAGCTCAGCTCCGAGAGGCCGTGGTGCCCGGCGGCAGCTCAGCTCCGAGAGGCCGTGGTGGCTGGCGGCAACTCAGCTCCGGGAGGCCGGGGTGGCCGGCGGCAGCTCAACTCCGAGAGGCCGGGGTGGCCGGCGGGAGACGGTTCCAGGACATCACCGCGCGCTTTCATACAGTTCCTCGTGACTTGAACAGCCATAAACGGAGTAGCTCTACCCGCTTCATGCGCAATCGGAGTCGGCTTGATCCGCGAGAGGAACTGAAGAACATGTCGCGGATTGCTGTCATCAAACCCCTCAGCTCAGACCTGAACCTCGTCACAATCCTCCCATCTCAGACCTAAACCTCGTCACTATCCTCCTACGTCAGACCTAGACATCATCACAATCATCTCACCTCAGACCTAGACACCTAAACAATCCTCTCACCTCAGACCTAGACTCCGTCACAATCCTCTCACCTCAGACCTAGATGCCGTCAGCCCCTAGCCGTGCCCCGTTAGCTGTTTGAAACAGCAAGTTACCGCTGGGGGACTCCTGCCCTCAATTAACATTTTTTCTGGTACGACGCCAGAGTTAAATGAAGCATCTTATTACCAGTATTTTGAAACTCAGTGCCTCTGAATAATCATCAGAGCTATCTTGCATCAAAATGTTGGGACTATTGACCAGGTCACGCTATTGAACGTCAACATACCTTGCTAGCGCTAGCGTACGAGCCGAATTTAAAGGCTTATTCACATAGATAGTGCTCGGTATCGCTTGACACGCTGCGAGCCCCTCAAGGGAATCATGACAACGGTGGAAACGCATTTCATCATGCTAAAACAGGCCAATTCAGGCCACCCGGACCTCATCCTGGGTCAACGTTACGTCATATATATATATATATATATATATATATATATATATATATATATATATAGCATAGCTTCGAATACCCACGTGATTTAGTTCATCGTAGGCCATCGTTACACCCAATGGACGCCTGTTGGGTGCACAATGGGTGCATCTGCGTGCTCCGTAGATGACACCCGAACAGGGACGATAGATGGTGCAGCGACAAGACAAGTGCGACCGCCTAATAAGAAACTGCAAGCTTCTCGAAACATGTTGGCATCACGTGCACCAGTCTATGGCGACGCCAACGACCCTGGGATAACTCTGCATGCATTTTCTAAGACAATAAATCCAGGCTTATCGATTTGGCTTGAGCTGACGACAGCTGATCATCGGTTCCAGAGATTCAGAAAGAACAAAGTAATTCCTTTGAACTCGCGAGTGACAGAACACCGCAATCAAAACCGAATTGAATGGGGCGTATTTTAGCAGTTGGCCGTGAAGCCGAAGACAAATATTGAGCTAGTGGAACGCTTTCTGGATACAAGGGCTCCTTCACATCAACGTCAGGCCCAGATCCAACTAGTGTCTGGCAATGTGGCGGGCTTCCCGGTCTGCAGATCGGTGTCAGTTGGCAATGCATTGAGCAAGTCGAGCTGATGCAAAACATTATTTGCGGTGGCTGTTCGTCCTTATGGCTGCCAAACCTCGTCCAAGAGCGGGTCACTCCATGAAATCCCTCCTTTCGCCTATACCGCTGTCTTTATTTTCAAATACCTTACAAAAATATTGATGAATGAATGATCAGTATCTGCTTAAGCGTCATCCCAGTGCAGGTCAGCAGAGCACAGCAAGATCGGCCCAATGACCCAGGTCAGAGCAGGCCGTTCTGCTAGTCCCAGTCAGCTGAGCAGGCTGTCCTCCTGGTCCCGGTCAGCGGAGCAGGGTCGACCTCCAGACCCGGGTCAGTACAGCAGGACTGTCCTGCTGATCCATGTCAGGTAGGTGTCCACCTTCATGAACACGGCCGGGTACTTGGGGTCGGCGCAGCCCTGGCCGTAGGAGCCGATGCCCACCACTTCCCAGGGGCCGGTGCCGTTTCGCGACTGGCGAATCATGGGCGTTCCACTATCGTCCTGTGTTCGAACACAGTGCACAGAGTTAGTGCGGGCAAACGCTCTCTCATCAGCGCCGTGCGGCGCCGCCCGTTGTTGCCATGCACGGAGCGCCGTGATTAATGGTACGGTGATACAAAATTCCGTGGCCATTGGCCCGAAGACGGAATATTCAGTCTAGATAGCTGAAGCTAAAGAGTTCACCGAAATGAGGAGCCAACCTGAAGCAAGAACGTTGCGTAATTGCAGACGTTAAGAGTGTATCAGAGGTTAAGCGGCATTGCATACGGTACGGCTCTGTGCTACTGCGCAATATCTGTCTGTGCTGTATTCCCTTCGACGCTTAGCAATGTATTTGTAAGAAGCTTAGAACAGGTACATTGGTACGTGAAATTAGACGTCATCAGCTTCACAAACATAGTAAGGAGGTGGTTACACGCGTCGCACTCGTTCACTTAGCCTCTCCGCTACTGGCGACAAATGTCATTGACCTTTGATGATCTCATATAACCTGCCATGTTCACACATGACCTATTGTGACCTCTTTATGTTGGAACGATGTTCCAACGTGTTTTCATTCACGCATTCCAATTATGCGTCCAAATTACCCATTAAAAGGAATGTTCCACATTTATACGCATTTTGCACTAAAATAGCCATCTTGGTAACCTTTTTGTGCAGTTCATGGTCATGTCCTTTTTAATACCCAAAACGCTCTGGTTCCTGAGTTACACGCCCGCAAAAGTGCGAAAAGGTTTATTGGGAGCCTATTTCAAAGTCGCCCTGGCATTAATGACGTCATAGAAACGTCATGCGATCGCGGTCATACTTCAGGCTGTTTTCTGCTTATGGTCAAAACAGCATGGCCGCTGATACATTCGCAAAAGAGATGATGCGTCGCGTATGATACAATGCGCGGAAGATGATTGGCTGTTGCAAGATTTCGCTGCTGATTGCCTGTCGCGAACATAAACATGAAGCACTTTCTGGTTGTGCGGCATTCGTGAACGAGACATCTTTCTTGATTTCTAGGCCTTAGGTAAATATTACAAAAAAGAACGCCACTGTCAGTAAAAAGTAGGGCACGCTAAAACGGGCACTCCAGAAAGTTATAAAAAAGGAGATGGGACAGCAAATCCGTCTTTTTCCCCTCTTGGCGTTTTTCTTCTTCTACTGACGTATTTCTTCCAGACAGCTCTGTTGGTGCCTTGTGTACCGGAGCACAGAACCTTGCACTAGTTTAAGGGTTAGCAAGGCATTATAAAATTAGGGAAACAACAGCAATTATATATATATATATATATATATATATATATATATATATATATATATATATATATATATTGCTTACCGGAGAGAAACTGGTCAACTTTGTCGCGGGTTATTTTTTGTAAAATGTTTTCCCACGGTGAAGCAGCCAAAGAAAATGTGTTGAGAGATAATGTCTAGGAGTTGTATCTGGAAAGTGGGTACAGATGCTGCCGAGTGTCTTCAAACATGCCACTCCTGAGTCTAGATGCTCACGTCTAGATGTTTTATGAAACTGGGCGCAAACACATTGAATTCACGGCCAGTTGTACTGTTTCATGCATCACGTAGAGTTGAGGAAGCATGTATATTTTGAGTGAGTTTCTCAGTGGAGTCGTCCTATGAGGAATAACCTATAATCCAACTCCTAATAGAAATGCATGTTTTCCACGGTGTGTTTGAATTTTTATTGGGGGAGGGGGGCGAACGCCTGGTTAGTTAAAGTAACGCCGTTGTCTTACCTTGCAGGAATCGATGCCGGGGTAGTCAAAGGCACAGAGCATGCGGTAGGTGACACTGTAGTCGTCGTCATAGCTAGCCACGCATTCTTCATGCGAGCTGATCTCGGCGCTGGTGTAGTGCATCTTCTGACGCGGTCGGCCGGCTGTAACACCGGGCAGCACTCTGCAGTACACCTCCGTACCGATGCCAACCACTGGCTAATGGAGCTCCGCTATACACAAATCTACTTGTGGCCCAAAGGGAGTGTTCCACATTTGTATGGTGTTTTGAGCTGCAATGGCCATCTTGAAGACACTTCGGTGCTGTTCACAATCCTGCACTCCTCATGGCCCCAGCCACTATAGTTTCTGAGCTGCACGCTCGGGAAAATGCGGAAAAGTAAATTGGAGAGAGCTTTTCCAAGTCACGTTGGCATTCATGACGTCATAATAACATCATTCAAGTCCCGCCACTTTGTAAGCCATGCGGCGATCAAGTTTAAGTAAATTATCATTGTCAGGGCGTTTATGCTTGACGTTCGTGGGTGTTTAGTTGAACAGAGGATAGTGCTGCCTAGTACAGTCATTTCCACTTAAAAAAAAACATACCAGTTTAGGTATGGGAGCTTGTTCAATCATAACATAAGGGAGCTTGTTCAATCATTACTGATACTTTCTTCCATATCTTAGAACAGGAAACATTCCCTTTAAATCTCAGCTCTTGGCCAGCACATCCTACCTGGCATATACGACAGAGACCCATCAGTTACATGGCATACAATGTGGACTTAATTGCACTAAACCTGGTAATTGACAGTCTGCATCTGCCAAGTGCCAGCCAAGTGCACTGGCATATCATTGGCATGAGCATTGATGGCATATTAACAATCCAACATCGGATGACAGACGGCAGCGATTAGCTAGCGTAAGTTACAGACATATCATCAAGTGACCTCAGTTGAGCAATTTCTCATTGCGTTTTTCACAAACAAGCTCAGCAAAAATACACTTTACCCGACCCCCCTCTTCCGGTCAGCAAGAAACTGAACTGAACTGAACTACTGAACTAGAGGTAAGCTAACGTAGGAGTCGGCCAGCGTTTCCGCCAGCATACCTTAAACTCATTTCATCATGTCACTCTTTGATGAGTCAGGAGTCTAAACAGGTTTCCGCGCTGCGCAGAATAAGAGTGCTGCGGCACTTTACCTGCATTCCATGACTATTAAATTTGGAGACCGAATTGTCACTTGCAAGCCGTGTGTTGTGCGAAAATACTTTATGATGGGATTCCTATGATGGGTTCACATGAGGGATACAATCCGCAAATGAAACGACGCGATCTCGTCACCATTGCTGTTTATTTCATAAACGGCAATGATAAGCAATGATCAATAATCAGCAATATACATTGCTGATCATCTTCATCCTAAGCAACTTAGCAATCCAGTTTTCTCTACAGCTGAAGTAGTTTGTGCTAAACTACTGTGTAATAATGCAAATACTGTTATTTGCCAAATTTAAAGGTAACCCAACACTGAAAAACACCACTTCAACACAGAGCTCGAGCAATGCCTACTTTGGCTACAAAAATGAACAAAGTAACATTTATGACTGGTGATTTCAACTTTGATCTGTTCTCACTTGATGTCATTCCTAATGTGCAAGCATTTTTCACTAACATGTGTTCAAATGGCTTCTTTCCTACAATATCCAGAACAAGCCGATCTTGCTATCAATCATGTACTCTTCTAGATAACATATTTTGCAATGCATTATCAAAAGTAATGCATACAGGCATTTTCCTTCATGATTTATTTGATCATTTCCCTAGTTTTTCTTCAATGAACTGTGCCCCTCCCCCCATACATACTCACCTGATGTTAAATCATATACTTCCACATTTGATTACAAAAAGCTGGAAAAATGTCGGCAAACGCTTGTTGATCACCTTCTTGATATTGAGAATGAGCCAGAACCTGATGGTACTGCAAATCAAGTTGTTCATTTTTGCAATGCGGAGATCATGAAGTTCTCTCACTCAAGGCACATTCCTCGAAAAAAAAATAGCTAATGCAAACTGTGGGTGTCACCTGCACTTCTCTCAATTACACAAAAGAGTAAGTTATTTGAACTGAAGTTGAAGCACCCCAACCCCAAAATAATGCAAAATACACCTCTTCCCGCAATATCCTTACTGCATCTCTTGGACCAGCCAATAAGAAATACTGCCGTGATGAATTCATTAAACATTTCGGCAACTCCAAGGAAACATGAAAAACATTACACACTCAAAAACTCACATAAAAAAGATGCAGACCCAACCAGGATTACAGAGGCTAATAACAAAACTCTCACAGATGATCCGGATATCGCAGAATCATTTAATCGCTTGTTCACTGAGATTGGACAAAAGTTTAAGGACAACATTCCTAAATCATCATTCAACTCCCTCCAGCTCATCGCAAACGTAGAAAAAGAAATGGATCTGCCCCGCCCCCACTAATGGAGAGGAAAAAGTTCTTTTTACCAGTGTATTTAATTATGTCGGAGCTGTAGTCAAAAATATTAATTCCAAAGTACTCAAACTATCTTAAAGGTTTTATTTAGGTTAAGTTATCTCAAAGCAATTATTCATCTTTTCAACAACTGTTTGTCATCGAGGGTATTTTCAGGCATTTTCAAAAAAGCTGTGATTAGACTCATCCTTAAGACTGGGACTCTCAATTTGTACATAATCACAGACTTATCAGTATTTTGCCGTTTATGTCCAAAATTCTCAAAAAAACTTATACATAATAGACGCATTCTTCAAATAAACCAAAATTTTCTAATTCACCAAAATCAGTTCGGATTTCAGAATAACAAAAGTATCTGCATGCCAGTTTTTTTCTCTAGGAAACTATCACTAAGGCTTTTGAAAACGGAAAATAGGTGCTAGGTTTGTATTTATATTTGAAAAAAACATTCGGCACTGCTAACATAAACCTTCTACGTAAACTTACTAGATATGGCACTCGACGAAAACCTCATGAAATAATTTCTTTTTATTTGTCTGGCTGGCCTCAAACGTAAAAATTCGGGAATTATCTGTCATCCTTTAAAAACGTAGCAATGAGTGTACCCCAAATATGAATTCTAGGCTCAATTTTGTTCTTATTGTACAACAAATGACTTGTCTAAATTAAGCAGTAACATGATTTGCCTCTCTTACGCTGATGATACTGCTACTTGAAAAAATATTGTGGAACTTCAAAACAATGTCAGTACGCTTTTGCTTCTAGTGACTTCCTGGTTCAGTGCTAATTTTCCTTCACTGAACGCATCAAAAACATTTACACGGCACTACACTACCCTTTCGTTGCATTTCTACTAACTTTAATTCTACTAATTTCAACTAATTTCACTAATTAAATTCTACTAATTTCAACTAAATGTACAAATTAACGTTTCACCTATCAAGACAAAAATAAATCAAATACCTTGGTGTTTTCATTGATAATTCGCTTAAATTAACGCACCCCATCAATTTTGTTGCAAGCATATGAAGCAGAAATATTGGAATAATAAGTAGGGGTAGGCAGTTCATTAATAAAACAACGTCACATCTACTCTATGACTCTTTAACCTTCCCTGATTTAAATTACTGCAGCTTGAGTTAGGGTGAAAATTACGCTTTTAACTAGATCGGTTAATAATTTTGCAAAAAAGGCTATGCGTCTAATAGAGAATGTGTATCCTCCATAAAGCTCCGAGCCAATCTTTAAAGAATACAAAATTTGGAAATCATCGGATATCGCTAGATCCCAGATGTTCATTACGATACTCAAATTTCTGACTTCACAGCTTCCTGCATCATTCGATTTAATACACAAGATGTACGAATCAAACGAAAGGTGTATGGGGTGAGTAAAACATTTAGACCAACTCTTCTCCAATCGTACTTATAGACTATTTACAACACCTTGCTTTGGCCATAAGCTGTGGAACAACGTTATAGCGTTGTATTTTCCAAGAATGGCTGCTATTTCTGCATCACAAACCACCGTTAAAAACGCCATCCACAAGTATTTCGTGGATGCATATTAACGCAACCAAGATATTCGAAGATACTGCAATCTTTTGCGCTGCACGTATGTAACCCACTTCATATATAACCTCCCTCATGCTCCATAATCACGTTCTCTTATAGTTATAGTCATGCACATGTGCCAAAATTCATGGCGCTGGCCCCGGGAGTTCTTCCAATAACAAGCTCCGCTTAGCTGGGTGGATTCCCTGGACATCCAGCTCAAAACGCAGCACGAAAATGATCAGGTAATTGCCCCTCCGACATGTGTGACTATACAAGCCAACTACACTGTAAATGAGATGTTGTAGCTTTTTGGGTGGTTATAGCGGACTGTCATTAGCTGAATTTGGCCATGACTGCTTTAAGCTTCTCATGTATGATTTGTCCATGTCTATCGCCTAACACTATTCCTTCGGGTCCGCACCACCTCTTCGCCTGCTTCTTCATGTTTGTTTCCTCCACTTAGCTGGCAGTGCCGCGGCTTGATGTTACGTTTTCTGGCGTTAACGTACGGTTTATTGCATCGGTGGGATAGAGGGGGGGGGGGGGGGACACTCCTGGTTACCCGCTCTTGAGTAACGGTATAGCAAAAATGAAGCCTCAGAAAAATGATACTTGCAGTAGTTACAGCAGTAGTGAGTGAGGAGTCAGGTGTGGATTGGTTCATTGTTGTGACAGTTGACAATGAAAAATATGCCCATACCATGGATGTCATAAGAAGCAGACAATCTTTCACCGATGTTAGCGTAGAATATAGAAATGTAGGATGCCTGTAATGCCGACAGAATATATTGCATGGCACAGACTCTGCGCCATGCAACATCCCCCGTCTCCTCGCTGAGGTTTGACAAACTTTAGTAGATGATAACAATATTGTGTTTGCTACTTAGAAATTGCAATAGAAACCTTACGCTGCTCTGCCAAAAAGCTTTTTAACTAATACTGCATGCTGTTTATTTTAACACGCTGAAATGGTCCACAATTTTGTCTGGGAATGCTCTGTTTCTTCATGTTACCATTTTTAATGACCAGGCCGCTGCCGAGCTCAGGGTAAGAGGGCTGCCCCCCTCTAACCGACCTGGGAGGGTTGTGAGTCCCGTGGCCAGGCTATTGCCGATCCCAGGGTGGCAGGGCTGCCCCTCTCTAACCGACCTGGGCGGGGTGTGAGTCCCGTGGCCAGGCTATTGCCGATCCCAGGGTGGCAGGGCTGCCCCCTCTAACCGACCTGGGCGGGGTGTGAGTCCCGTGGCCAGGCTATTGCCGATCCCAGGGTGGCAGGGCTGCCCCCCTCTAACCGACCTGGGCGGGGTGTGAGTCCCGTGGCCAGGCTATTGCCGATCCCAGTGTGGCAGGGCTGCCCCCCCTCTAACCGACCTGGGCTGGGTGTGACTCCCATGGCCAGGCTGTTGGCGATCCCAGGGTGGCAGGGCTGCCCCCCTCTAACCGACCTGGGTGGGGTGTGACTCCCATGGCCAGGCTACTGCCGATCCCAGGGTGGCACGGCTGCCCCTCTCCAGCCGACCTGGGCGGGGTGTGAGTCCCATGGCCGGGCCGCTGTCGAGCCCAGCGGGCTCGCCGCGTGTGAACACCGGCTCTCTGTTTGCATACTCCCAGCACGGTTGTCATCCGTGTCTACAAACAGTGATGATTGCTCCGTCACCTGTATGCCGGTGAGAACCCTTTCGTTCATGTGAACGTTAACCAAAGAAAGGCTATGGTCTGGGAGCATAAACACGCCTCGGTTTGGGACCTAACACCAGCAGTGTCAGCGCTGGCGTGGCCACAGAGGCGTGATCAGTTCTAACAACGTGCCACTATTCAATGTGACCGCGGTTAGCGGCAGTCCAGTGAGTAGCTGTTGTCATGGCTTCCGCCACCTCCGTACCACCAGGAGATCCGTTCCCCAAACAGACGCCAGATACCTGTCTAATCAACTAATACTCAGCGCTTTCGCGCCGCATATTGGCTGGTCATGCGCCGCATGCGCCGCATCTGCTCGAAGAATTCCCTGTGTGTGACAGCTGGCGGCGCCGGATCTCCGTGCGCAGCACTTGCGGTGGCCCTGGGATGACAAGGACTCACGCAAACAGTGGACAAGAGCCCCGTGTCAACACACTTTCGCTCACTGTGTTATGCAAAAGCTTCACAGAGCCATCCTGAGTGTCCGGACCAAATCCTGAGAATTTCCGCCACCGATAGCAATTTCCGCCGATACCGGCGGTGGCGAGAGCATCATTTGCTGCGGCGCAGATCCCCCAGATTCAGCGTCGACAAAAAGTTGTCCACGGGTGTCAGGGCTCTCGCATCGAAAGCAACCAAGTAAAGGCGGCCCCGGCTGTACGAGAGACACGTGTCAGTATTTTAAACTCCAGGGTTTTGGCTACACCCCGACGTGAGCAGAGCAAGACCTGAAATACCCTTGATCCACCCCAACTCTCCCAGTCAGCCCGATCGCCGGCCACTAGCACCGCCCCTGGGCAGGGAAACCTTGGTCAGCGGGCACCATATTGATACCGGGGTTTGTGACTCAGTGGCCATACGTGATCCCGTGCATCAATAGCCGGAGAGTCACCAGGAGGTGATCGCTGCCCGCTTAGCCGCGGAGACGGAGAGAACGACTACGGTTCTGGCCACGGAGAGGTGCGACATCTGAACCCGGGGAGCTGCCGCACCTGAGCTCGGGAATATGCTCTGTCTGAGCCCGGGGAGCTGCGGTGTCTGAGCCCGGGGACCTGCGGTGTCTGAGCCCGGGGAGCTGCGGTGCCTGAGCCCGGGGAGCTGCGGCGTCTGGGCTCGGAGAGCTGCGGTGCCTGAGCCCGGGGACCTGCGGTGTCTGAGCCCGGGGAGCTGCGGTGCCTGAGCCCGGGGACCTGCGGTGTCTGAGCCCGGGAAGCTGCGGTGCCTGAGCCAGGGGAGCTGCGGTGTCTGAGCCCGGGGAGCTGCGGCGTCTGGGCTCGGGGAGCTGCGGTGCCTGAGCCCGGGGACCTGCGGTGTCTGAGCCCGGGGAGCTGCGGTGTCTGAGCCCCGGGAGCTGCGGTGTCTGAGCCTGGGGAGCTGCGGTGCCTGAGCCCAGGGGACCTGCGGTGTCTGAGCCCGGGGACCTGCGTTGCCTGAGCCTGGGGAGCTGTGGTGACGGTCCCGACTCACTGTCCGGCCTGAAGCCCCAGCCGGCGATGAAGGCCTCCTGTTCAGCCATGTCGTCTCGCCGCACCGTCGCTAGCGGCAGACAGATGGGCCGGATCACCTCTGCCGGACCACAGGTGCCGCTCACGTACGCCACAGGCGACAACGGCCGCTGAGTCCAGGCGGCTGTCACACACTGCACGTCACGTACGCCGATTCACAATAACGCCTGCAAGACCGAGTCCAGGCACCACAACGAACGTTCTCAGATAAACAGGCACCAAAAAGCCACGAGGTGAGCAGTGCTGGTCGAGCCTCGACAAGAGACGCGAGCGAGCGAGACAGAGCGGCGGCCGGGGCGGGCCGGAGTGGGAGGCGGCGCGTGTGCGGCAGACCCTGCCCCGCGGATGCCGAGGGCTCACCGTTGCGCGGCGCCGAGTAGGTCAGCTTGACCAGGCCAATGTCGTGCAGCAGCTGGGCGCGAGGGCCCGCCTTGGCCAGATAGTCTGGGTGGCGGATGGCGTCCTCCACGGGCACCACCACCGGTGGAATGTCCGGGTCGTCGTCGGTGTCGGAAGCCACGTCGATGTCCCCCAGGCGCGCCTCCACACTGTGGACCGGCACGGACAGCTCGGCTAGGACGAAGGTAGGCCTGACATGTGTCGCTGTACTTGCCTACCGCCTCACTCCGCTTGGTTTTTCGCTCGCAAGTTCTTGATAATGACCGATTGACTGAATGCTGATGATATTGAGCTATTGCCACTGGGGAGTGAGTGAGAATTGATGAAGAAGTGACAGCCAGCCGGAAAGTCAGTGGGAAAGAAACAGCCAGCCGGAGAGTAAGTGAAGAAGTGACAGCCAGCCGAAGAGTTGGTGAAGAAGTAACAGCCAGCAGGAGAGTTAGTGAGGAAGTGGCAGCCAACAGGAGAGTTAGTGAAGAAGTGAAAACCAGCCGTAGGGTTAGTGAAGAAGTGACAACCAGCCGGAGAGTTAGCAAAGAAATGACAACGCACATGTTTTGAGCTCTGAGCGTGGGGAATGAGCTATGACTGAGACGAGCTGGATTGCGTCGAAGCATTGATCCCAAACGGCGTGGTGCGGATCTTCAATGCCTCAAGGTAAGAAAAAAAAAACTCGACAACGAACAAACTCGCGAGCGATTCATGGGGCAGAGCCAATGTTTGCGATTTGTTATCATCCGTACAGACACGAGTGCCGCAGTTTGTCGTATGCCAAAATCACACGTTGATGTCTGATGCACGGCGCGCATCAGCCTAGTTTCATCAATCATGAACGCAAACCTAAGCACTTTGGAATTGCGACATGTAAGCATACGTGTCATGAACTCTAGCTTTACTGCTGCTTGCAACTCTTTAATGGCACAAATGAAAATACAGGAAGCCGGTGCTCTCCAGGCATAACCCGCGTAGTGTAATGTAGAAGTGCGGTTAGTCCGTAGTCTCCTCTCATGAGACTAGGTCCAGCTCTGCCGCTGTCGGGTCGGCCTCTGAGGTTGACGGTTCAGGTAAGCAGTATATCATCTGGACAGGATTGAGCGCCGGGCGGCGTGCCGGCTCCCAGCTCTGCGTCCTTCCGACTCCCAGCTCGGGACCGGCTGAAGAGCTAGTCACCCAGCGCGACAAAAGTCTAAATGTCAAACGTCCGTGGGACATCTGTGCCTTGAATACTTCATTCTCCCAGGGAAATAATACAACCAAGCCTGTGAATCGTTGCACAGGTACCCGCTCCATAGCGATGCAGCAATAACTGATCATATAGACCCGATTGGGGATTAGCGACAGCATTTACCATGGTTATTGCATAGCTCGCCGCTTGCGTTCGCTGATGTAATGAATACTATCGCACTGAGAACATGACATGGGCCAATTGCCAAGAACAGGGTCAATTGCTAGACTGGCCCACACACCTCCCATATAATGGCCAACACTGCTCTCAGGTCTGAAGTGGTCTGAGATGGGTGTTGTGAGCTTGCGACCATTAGCAGCTGCCACGGGCGGTCCACATTTACAATGCAAGCTTCATTCATTCACCGTCCCTGCATTTTGGAGCTTCGTTACTCATCTAATGAAAGCTCTTCGCCGTGGAAAGTGCAGCGCTTGCCGAGAGCGGAAATGTGTAAACTAATCACCTGATTGTCCCAAACTTGTAAAAACAAAAGAGCGCAAATCCTCTGAAATGCTGCTGAGATCGCATTCATTTGTAAGAGATTGATTTAATACATTGCGGACTCGCGATAGCACCGGAGTTGGCGGCACAGCGGTGGCGCTGCATACGGTGCAGTGAGCTCGGGGCTGTTTCCAGTCCACGGTTACTGGTGGGATTGGTGTCAGCCCGCTCGTCGCGCTGCAGTTAAACACAGGGTGCTGGCTCGATGATTATTATTTTGATTTTTGATGGCGCTACGGTTACTGGGGCCATTTTAAACTGTACTGATGTGTTAGCAAGTAAATGCCAGCAGTAAAAATAAGTGAAGGATTACGATCAAGAGAACACCCGGGAAAAGCGAGAGAGATAGAATAGAGGATAGATAAGATACGAGAGAGAGAGAGAGATAGATAGAGAGAGATAGGAGAGAGAGAGAGAGAGAGAGAGAGAGAGATAGATGATAGAGAGAGAGAGGAGAGAGAGAGAGAGAGAGAGAGAGAGAGAGAGATAGAGAGAGAGAGAGAGAGAGAGAGAGAGAGAGAGAGAGATAGAGAGAGAGAGCGAGAGAGAGAGAGAGAGAGAGAGAGAGAGAGAGAGAAAGAGAGAGAGAGAGAGAGAGAGAGAGAGAGAGAGAGAGAGAGAGAGATAGAGAGAGAGAGAGAGAGAGAGAGAGAGAGAGAGAGAGAGAGAGAGAGAGAGAGGAGAGAAGAGAGAGAGAGAGAGAGAGAGAGAGAGAGAGAGAGAGAGAGAGAGAGAGAGAGAGAGAGAGAGAGAGAGAGATTCTCTCTAGCATACCGTTCTCTGTCTCATCTCGCTCATCTCTATCGCGCTCTCTCTCTCTCTCGTCTCTATCTCTCATTCCTCTCCTCTCTCTCGATCTCTCGCTAGCTACTCTCGTACTCCGTATCGTCTCTCTCCCCAATCCGTTTTTCGAGTTTTCGCATCCCCCTGTAGAAAAATGAGACTACTGTAATGACCTGAGGGCAGTACGCGGCGATAGGCAAACCTTTTCAGTCGGCATCTCAACGCGCTCGCGCCTGTGAGTGGAATACATCACGTGCAGTACGACCGCGACCAAGAACTGTGCCATGGCATACAGCTTGGCCTTGGAAAGTTTATCCCTGTGACGACATCAGTGTCGTAGAGCGTCCGAATAGTTTTTACCTTTCAGGGCTGTTGATTCGTTATGTGGGCTTCACTACGCGCTCGGATGGGGGTCAAATTAATCCCTCGAGGGGTTGTCCGGAATGGTTTCCGAACGCAGCGGCGTAGCCACGCTAAATTTTGCATAGCTGTAGATAACGAAATACCGGTTTATGTGGTGTCAATAAATTGGATGTACCTTGTACGGTCGCTGACCTACGGCAGGTCAAGGCCAGACCATGGATTCAGCGAAATCAATTTCAAGGGAATCGTTCAATCTGATGGAGCAGCGAAGTGCTAGACGGAACCATGCATCTCTGAGATACTTTCTTAGACGACACAACATACAAATGACCGAATTACATTGCCCTAGGGTCAGATATAAAGCTCAAACCAAGGTCAAAATCAACCCGTTTTACTACTTTGGGGCCTGCTGTTTGAGGTAGTTTATGGCGCTCATTTCGAATTTATTGATAACATGGACCTCATTGGACATCTTCCATGGACTTTTTATAGGTAAAAATAGGTCACCGACCTAAAATGACGCAGGTCAATTTTTTTTTTTAGGAACGTACTGCCTGTCATAATGTTCATTTGCGTATTCAAATACGAAACTCAAAACAGTATTGCTTGATTGTAGTGACCATTGACCTTCGAAAGGTCAAATAAGATCACTGACCGTGAATGAGCATGTGACCTTTCTTAGAACAGGTATGTAGATCCTGGGGCCACCATGGAGATCAACTTGGAGTTTGACGTTATTTGACCTTATTTGATCCAAAGGTCGTGACATAGGAGGCTCAAACTTAAACATAAGTGAGTTTAAATATGGGCAAACACACCCTGTGAATTTGGCGTCTCCGGCTTTCTTAGTTTCTGGTATTCCAGGAGGGTCAAGTTGACCCCCACCCAATCGAAGAGTATCCAAGCGGCCCCTCGGGCGCATGTTAATGCGCGTCGACCGCACTGCCATACAGCGCCCATAACAAATTGTTCCTTCATAAATTTTCAGCAGCTTAAAAGCTTCCCAAACGCGGTGTAAACTCCTAAGGTATGTGTACGTAAAGCGCAGACTGTAATATGCGATAAAAACTTGAAATATATGCTCGATATATGGTGAGTTGTAATATAGTAAATCGAAGAGCGTCAGAGGCGACCTCAGAGACTTGGCGCGTAGTATGGGACAGCATACGAGCATATGTTGCATCTTAAGCGTGGCGTTACAGGGACGACACCGAGGTAGTTCTTCGCGACACATTAGGCATCAGTGTGTGGCATGGGCATGGCCAATCTACAAGTGACACAAGATCGCTTCCTCCCGTCTAGGGTTTACTTTTCTTTTTAATCATGTTAATCGCATCCCATATACTCCGCCATTCCCCGCGCAAAAAGCAGCGATGGCCGAGTACAGGTCTGTGGCGGATATTGGGAACGCTCTCCGACAGGGACGAAGAATAGCGCGCTTTGCGGCAGCGTCAGCCAGCTCATTTCCCGCAACGTCAACGTGACTCGCAATCCAACACTATGGTCTTTCCAGCCCCGTACAGATAGTCGAGACGCAATAACGTGTCCTGCATAGGTGGATTTGCCGGATTAAAACATCGTCATGCCGAAAAGCCACTTAGTGAGTCCGATTAAATCACGTGCAGGCTGTCTTCGACCACCTCGATGAGGCAAAGCGCATTAGTGATGGCCACGAGCTCTGCCGTATACACGGATGTATGGGATGACAGTGTAAATGATCGCATGTGATGGCCACACTCAAAGGCGAAGCCAGCGTCCGTATCCGTTTCGGAGCCGTCTGTATACGTCGTCGTATATCCCCATGTTTCGATATGCTGCAGAGCTGTTGATCCGGCAACACACGGAATCATATTGTGCTCCCGAGCCTTCGGCAATGATAAGCCGACAGTTGGTGATGCTATCGTCCTCAGAGTTGTTGGCAGGCTACGTGGGCCCGCTACACCCGAAAACCAGGGCCACTCTCATGAGCATCATGAACGCGCATACAGAATGGCGCGACACGTAGTGCTTGTTCGTCGTAGAAACAACTGTGGCATGAGAGTACAACTCCCTAAGTTGGGTGATTCGGGGTTTGCGCCAAGTTGCAAGCGTACCCATCTCCCAACAACTTCCCTCGGGTCGCCAGCGAAGGTTTGTTGACCTTCCAGAGGTGAACAAGGCGCTGACTCACGCTGCCGGGCTGACATGACCTTTGCCGACAGCCCCACTGAGGCGGGCGGCAAGTCATTCGTTGTCATCCGGAGCTGGCTCTGCCATTGACAAATCTTCCTGCCCTTCATAAGTTTTGCAGGTTCCAGTGGAATGGCGGCGAAGTTCCCAATCACATTTGAGCACAAAGCAGGTGATACGACAGGAGAAACCACGCCCCGTAAACGTAGCGATGACACCTTTTTACGTATATGCATTCAATGCACACGTTTTTCACAGCAGCTCATAGCGAGTCGCTCCCAGATACGCTTCTCGCCGAACGATACGGGCCACGTTCTACGAGTCAAACACTGACGGCCCCGGCCGCGCCATTCAGCGCCAGCCCACGCCCAGGTCGTGATGCCCGCCGTCCCGGCATTTGAGGGCTGTCGCCGTGGCCTGATACTCACGGTCCGCGCCGCTTGATGCAGTGGGCGGCCGTCAGCACCCAGTAGTCATTGATGAGCACGCCCGAGCAGCGGTAGACGGTGCGGCCGGCGCGCCGCCGCCGGTACCCGAGCGCCACCATCCAGGGCAGGTCTCCCTGGAACTCGACGCGCTTCACGCCGCTGGTCCTGTTGCCGTCAGAGACATGCGGTTGTGATACTGATGCCTGAGGCGGCCAGGTGGCTGCGGCTACAGGCGGCGCCTTACCGTCAGCTGCCGGGCAGTCCACAGGGCCATCCGTCCGGCTGCGCTGCTGTGCCTCAACGTGACGTGTATGCACGTGCACGTTGCACATGCTTCACAGGTAGACATGAAGAATGGCAGTGAATCAGCTTAACATGCAGCATAATTACCATAACACCGCCCTCCCGCTGGGCGTGAGATTCCTGACTTCCACCCCGTCCACCCCATCCACCTGCCTCGTCTTCTGCTAGCGCTCTACGGCGGCCACGGCCCCCGCGCTCCTCCGCGCAGGCACCCTGCGCTACCCCGTGTCTGCGCACCAGCGGCCCTGACTCTGCAGCGCCGCCACGCGGCGGTCCGACGCACCACTTCTGGATGAGGCTGCTGCGGCCGCAGCCGCGCTCCCGCAGGTGGTCTGGCAGCGCCTGGGGACGCACCGGCGGCCGCGTCGGCACCGTGTGCGACGGCGGCAGCGTCGGCGGCGTCGGCGGCGTCGGAGGCGTCGGCGGCGTGTGGTCCGGCGGCACAGTTGGAGGGGTTGGAGGCGTCGGCGGCAACCAGCCGACGGTCGGCGCCGTCGGCGGTGTCGGCGCCGTCGGCGCCTTGTATGTCGGGGGCGTGGGAGGTGTGGGCGGCGTGGGAGGGGTCGGCGGAGTGAAAGGCGGCACGGTGGGCGGCGTCGGCGGCCCTGCCGGACGAAGCAGAGGTCAACGGCCGATAGAGATTTCAGCACGTGACTCAGCTGGCGAGAGAAAATAATCAAGCGTTGTTTTGCTTTCGAACGACGATGTCAAAGTTATCAGGGAAGAAAAGGAGCAAAATTTGGGTAGATGCCTGCCACTGCCAGAGCATGGGACATTGAAGGCAGTGGCTGCCTGTTTTTATATCTGTGGGAAGGCATCTTCATGAAGCTGAGTATACACTGTCTTGGGGATGGGCTATAGCAAATGCTTCATCTTTGCATGTCGTTGGGAATTGCGATGGTTAGATGTCAGTCCACTGACAGTCGCACATGTACCGGTTGGCATACTTATTTTCATAAATGTCAGTGTGTCAAGCATTGTTCATGGGTGCTTGGCAAAACAGGAGCTGTCATAAGCACATCTGTCAGCTGTAAGTCAACAACAGAAGTAAGCAAGCTTTTTAGTTCAGGATAAGTGGTCAGCACATATAAAACACTCTGTAACATATCTATTCATCCAACACTAATTTTTAGTGTAAAGTTTGTGGATACATTCCCTATGCTAATATTGGGTCATTACCTGCATACAAAGCAATTGCATCGTGTTTGTACTGTTGTGACCGAGGCTGGCGTTTTGGAATGCTAACAATGCTTTCAATGGAACTGGTAGGTGCTCGAATCGTGCACATGTAGATCAATTCATGGGGGAACTTCAGGTTCACTTTCGAATTCGGCCAGCCTTCACTAGCCCAGAACGTATCAAAAGTACAAAGGTGATGACAGGAATCTAAATGGACACCATGTAAGGCTTAGCAATTGCAATCAAGCATGCCCAGCTCTCTGAACGCCCTCTTGAATGTAGAACACGTAGGGGATGTAGTGTAGGGACAGTTGCATCAGAGTTTAGGAGGGGGGGGGGAGTGAAGGGGGAGTTTCAGGGGGAGAGCTTAGTGATAGGAGAGTTGTACTCTAAGCTCCCTCCTGCTGTAACTAGTTAGAAAAGGACTAGAATTCTTACATCTGCAGGCCGGTAAAACCATCAGCTTCATATGCAGTGGTAAATTTTAAAGACCACGTCTTCTTTTTGCGGTAATTAACTTCTGAATGACCTCGTTTCAATTGAAACGACTCGCCCAACCCTGGGCTATCACATGGTGGAGGAAATTAAGCTTATGTTTTTTCGCAAGCAAGCTAAATGCATTGCGACATGTAGGCCAAATACACTCGTCTGTGCTATTCGGAACTCGTCGTGAGTGCGACATTACAAATTTTTCCCTTTGTATCAATCAGTGTTTATTTCACGAAGGCTGCCACACCGGTTTCGGTTGCTCGAGCATAAATCATGGTTTGCATACGTATTGCCAATGTTGGCTTGTTCTCTGGATGGTAATAAGCCATGCAATCATGCCCGTCAATAATTGACAGAAAGTTAGCCAATGGCATATGGTCAGTACATTGAACCACTGACACGACATGCCCCATGCACGGCTGGTGTAACATATACCGTTCGACATGTTGCAACGAAGTTTACGCCACCCTAAAATCCCCAGCAAGCACACGCCAAAAGTTTTGCAGCATATTCGACACGTGCACTTCCGCACCACAGAGCACCACCACGCGCCACATTCATATCGGTTTAGCTATTCCGTAAGCCCTCAAACACTTATTTACACTGCCGCTGTAGTTTTCAGCGACGTGCAAGTAACATATTTGTCGCGTTCATTGCAAGATGCGTGCACGAATGCGGCCGGAATTACACTGAAAGGTATTGGGAGCTTCTGTACGTAACTGAGTGACACAAGACTGCCATCCATCCCACAGATCTGGAATAAATAATCCTGATACTACTTGAACATGATAAAACCCACCCCAGTCTCCCCTAGACACCTTGGTTAACTATGCCTTCCGACAGCTCGGTGAAGCCTTTGGCATTTCGCCTGTTGCAACCTCGTGGGAGGGGAGGTGGAGGGGAAGGGAATCGAATCCGAAGACAGTCAAGATCCCTGGACATTCTCAGTCACAAAACGATAGTGAAAAAGCAAACAAAATTCGGTCACGTGCATGGCGTCGCAAATCACAGAAAATGCACGAAATTATTACCAATGCTTCCCATGACTTTCCAGCTACGTTCCGACGTATATAACAGACGTGATAAAAAATGGTCCGGAATTTTTTTAATGGATGGATACCCTGCATGCTGCATGTCGATGATGGATCCGGGCAGTGCCCGCCCTTCCTGCCAGGGGAGAGGCAGGCGATGCCATAGAGCCTTAGCAGCGGAGTGCGTCGCGAAGCCCCAATGACACGCGGATGAACACCTTGAATCAGGCTGTTGTGTTAACCCTCGTCCCGATAGCGAGGTTGGTGAGGTCCCTAAGGGTTTTGAAGGTACCTCTCCGGCATGTCGTGCTACTCACGCCCAAAGTTTTCGGTGTTCTATGTTGACGCCCACTGCGCGTGTTTTCATGCCAAAGACGTGTCCTTAAAAAAAGTACCCAAAAACCCAGTGCGGAAGGCCCCAGGAAGATCGAGCGCACCCAAGCTGGCTACCAGATGGCCCCGACAGGAGTGAAGGGCCCTGCATTCAAATATCAAAACCCAATGTGCAGGGGTCCCCGAAACCCGAGCAGGTTAACAGATAGGGGACCCGACAAGTCCATTCAAATATGAAATACCCAAGACCCAAGTTGGAGGGCCCCAAACGACAAAGTGAGCCCAAGTAGGTTAACAGATGGGCCCCAGACAAGAGCGTAGGGTCCTAAGCAAGTGACAGCACATCGAAAGGGTTCTAGACCGATGCAGAGGACCCATGATCGTATCATGAGTGTGTCTGTAGGTTAATCACGACCAACGTGAACCTACCGGCACACCAGGGTGTCACTGAGCAACCGAGAAAACCCGGGCATGTCAACATATGGGGTCCCCGGCCCTAGCACATATATTGTTTCGGGCAGATGGAAAGCATCCGTAGAAGGCCCCTGACTGACAGAGTGCCCTGGGACGCTAGCAGGAAGGGCCCCAGCACCAGCGCGGGGCCCACTGAGCAAATGTAAAGATATCAAGGGCCATATAAAAGCTACTTGACAATCAGTGTACGCCGCAAGTGGACATTTGGGGCCCTGGAAACAGCGTAGGACTTCTGGACAGCGTAAGCGGTATCAAGACCTTCCAATCATCACCCTTTCAATCAGCGAAGAATAGTTTTTGTCTACTCGTAGGCCCTTAGCTTTCACTCGCGACCATTATTTCTTTATTATTATAGATGGCCTGTAAGACAGAAGGCGGCCAATGTTGTTGCGTTCTGAGTAAAACAAAACAACAAACAAACAAAAAACTACGTCTGTTGGACCGGCTTTGGGCCCTCTCGGAGCCTATGGGCGCCTTCGAGACCGAAGGTGGGGGAGGGGGGCCATGATCCCCTGCCCCCTTCTGGATCCTTCCTTGCCACCTTCATCCTCACTTCATCTGCCCTGGAGCGACGGCCGCCTCCGGCCCAGCCCGTCACAGTCAGGGGCAAACAGAGAGCACAGATCGACGTGAACCCACGCACCCCACGCCACCACATGCAGGTCAGGAGGCGGGTGCTGTGGCTAAGGCACGCGTTACATTCGGCGCACGGAGCCCAGAACGGATCCAGACAACGCATCTTGACATGGTTTGGAGCACGGCGAATTGTATGTTTATGTCTTACATTCAGCAACGCAACGTGTGGAAATAAATGATACATTCACGGCAATGCATGCTGTACAAAAATAGCAATACGGTCACCAAAATGGCGCGCCTTCTGTGCGCACGTTTCATGTGCGCTTCATCTTCTTCCGGGGTGTTTGTCAGCTTTACATATATTTTTTTACATTCCCCAGCCTATTTTAATAATATCATTTTATAGACCTATTCTCAAAACCTCTGCCCATCCCCCCCCCCCCGTAAAGAAGCTGGCTCACGGTCCTCGCCGTAGCCATGACAGCCACTGGCCAGGTCTGAGCAGACATCTGGCGGCTGAGCCAGTGGCCAGTCATCTGTTGCGTTTCGGACTCTTCAAGGTCAAGCAGTCGTAAGGCTGCCCCGACTGGAAAGTTTTGCGAGTGCATGTGAGGACACACGCACACACGTATGCACGCATGCACACATACATACACACACACGCACGCACGTACGCACGCACGCACGCACGTACGCACGCACGCATGCAGGTTGAGCTAAAACGATTGTTCGTCGTTTACTTCACGAATGTGTTCAATATCAGCATCACATAGATATATTGCACTATTGGAACTTGCTCAGCGCAATTATTCCTCTTTTAAACAATTAGCACGACGATGTTACATTGGTCACTTTAATGAGTTCGCAGTTATTTCATAATGAGCATATACCACGCACATGATGTTCAGCTTAATAACGCCCACCGTTATTTTTTTTTTCATCGAGCGAAGCGTTTGAAAGTTGGATCTGCAATTAATCGCAGCGAACGTCACTGCTGCACTGAGTTTCCACTCTGATGCGTAGAAACAACGTTCCAGCGAGTAATCAACGTGACACACAGGCCGATCATTAGCGCTTTTCTTCCATCCTAGCGAAGCCTGCGGCCAGCTCAGCAGTCGAATGCTTTTTCTCCGGAGTTTGGGAGTCGAGTGCGTGTCTTATTGCCCCGCTCGCTGTGTGCTTGGGGGCAAGTTGAGGCAGAGTTCACAAGCAACATCCACAGCAAGCAGAACTCATTCGGAAAGTCGCTGCGATGCTGCGCGATCGTTGTGATTGTCTTCCTGAAGTTAGAATTATTTCCGGGCTTTCTTTGCGCCGCAAACGCAAGGGATGAAGGGTATTTAGGGTTCTAGCATCTATGATACTAATGACATCCGGCGGATGTTAGACTGGGAACAGTGTCGAGGGCAGTATTCTCATTTCAGTCAAGCACTGCCACCCTGCGATCAACCATTGGCTAGAAGGTAGACCCCTCCTAACCCCCCACCCCCCTCTCCTCTCTCCCGACATCTGGTTGGACCACACAGGCATGTGCTTTTATCGCAGCACGCCGATCGGTGCAATTCCGTCGAAGGCCAGCTAAGACACCACAAAATGCCGCCACCGTGAGCCTTCCAGGCGCCCTGTCATACTCTCGACGTTTCCCGCCTTTCACTTTAAGCCCCATTCCATGCCACACAAGCATTCCATGCAGCGACAGCCTGCATATGTAGCATACCAGCGTCTTGCGAGGCATCAGCGCAAAGGTCAACCTTGCACTCTTCCTGGAGGGAAGTAGCCCGTGTTCTCCCAGAGGGTAGGAGCAGAAGAGCGTCTGAACTTATCGGCCTGGAGTTCAGACTCGCTTCGTGGGTTAACCTCCGACTCGCCAGTGTGGCAGGACCCGTGAGAGTCCCTGCACCTCTTGCTGGATGAGAGTCCAGCTGGGTCCAGACTCACCCTGTGGGTGGGCCGCGGCGAGCGCCAGCAGAGCGACGGCGCACGTCCCCAGCACCGACATGGCGCGCACTGCGGCCGGGCCCGCTCTCTCGCCGACACGCGCCAGGCAAGGTCGGCAGGTACCGGGCCGCGGCCGCCCGTCACCTCCAGAGACCGGCCGCGCGGCGTGACGTCATACCTGGCCCATCAGCCCAGGGCCGCCCGTCACGTCTGGGCGCCGGTCGCACGGTGTGACGTCATATGTGACCGAGCTCTGCCAAGATGGGCTGTTCAAGCCATGCCCGGCCCCGTCCGGCTAGAATGGCCGGTGCCGGTCATGCCTGACCCAGCCAGAGTGAAACGCAGTCATTACCCTGGCCCGGCCCGGCCTGCGTGAGGTGAATACGCCATCTTATCCCGGCCCAGCCAGGATGAGCGCAATGCCTGTCAGCGGCCAGTCCGACCACCCAGAGCGAGCTGGGTACATTATCCCTGATCCAGCTCGTGTGTGTCGCGTGCGTCACGATGGGCTTGGTCCGGGCAGTATGAACCGCACGCGCACGTCACACCCGGGTAAGGCAATCGGTTCCGCATACGCGCTCTATACTTGCCCAGTCTGAACACGGCAACACCTCGGCTTAGCCCAGCCAGCATGAAATGCATATGTCATACGCGGCCACTGGCCAGCCGCCGTGAGCGGCATACGTCATACGGCCACTGGCCAGCCACAGTGAGCGGCACACGTTATACCCGACCACTGGCCAGCCGCCGTGAGCGGCATACGTCATACGGCCACTGGCCAGCCACAGTTAGCGGCACACGTTATGCCCGACCACTGGCCAGCCGCCGTGAGCGGCACACGTCATACCCGACCACCGGCCAGCCACAGTTAGCGGCATACGTCATGGCTCGGGTACAGGGAGATGCACATGTAATACCCGACCCTGCCCGGTTGGTGCGAAATCAGCCATTCTAGTTGGGTACCGTTTGGAATCCCAACCTATCATTGTAATGGGCAGAAGTGTCAATTATATTCATACAGAGCCTGCACAATCCGCGATGCGTCCGTGATTGCCCGATGAGATGTAAAGTTCCGCATCGCTAGAGTCATTCAATTAGATAGCTAGATTTCGATTGAGGAACTTGTCATGGCTAATGGATCGAGGTACAACAAGGTTGGTAGCTAGGGAGAAAGCTGATGCCGGAGGAAAGGTGTGTTTGTCCTGGTCAGATACTGCGTAGTTTTACATAACCCAGCTGAACATCGGGTGTTTTCAAACTGTCAAAGCTGAGATTATCTCCAGGAGGCAAATGCTATCTTCTCCGACGGCTAACTCGACAATGTAGCCTCTCCCGTCCATCCCAGAATGAAAGGTTCTTTTGACCCGGAAGTTGATGGTTCCCCGCAACAATGCACAGGGTGAGTACTGTCCATTCGTTGCTGTCAGAACTTGGTTAACAATCTTCAGGCCGATACTGTAATGGAAAGATATCATCCACGGCGTGCAAATTGGTTTACGTGCTTATATGTATATATATATATATATAATATATATATATATATAAATAAATATATATATATATATATATATATATATATATATATATATATATATATATGTGTGTGTGTGTGTGTGTGTGTGTGTGTGTGTGTGTGTGTGTGTGTGTGTGTGTGTGTGTGTGTGTGTGTGTGTGTGTGTGTGTGTGTGTGTGTGTGTGTGTGTGTGTGTGTGTGTGTGTGTGTGTGTGTGTGTGTGTGTGTGTGTGTGTGTGTGTGTGTGTGTGTGTGTGTGTGTGTGTGTGTGTGTGTGTTTTAATTGCACCACACGACATTCTCATCAAATACCGCGGAATATGTAGTTGGAAGATAATTCGCTGAACTGCAAATTTTAGAGCGTAAAGCGCTCTGAGGCCACGCTCATGGTTATGCGTGAGGCCACACCCCTGCTACGCTAGTGTGCGCATTGGTCAATACGGCGGAATTTCGAATGGGCCATGCCTGAAAAACTTTCCAGGAGCGAGTTGCATAACTCGCCCACCAACCTGAGACGGCTGATATTTCCATTCATAGGGCCGAGGGCCCGCTACTGGAACTGTTTCTGCCGACGCGGCCAACAGGCCCAGGCAGCGAGACTGTACTTTCGCCTCGGGAAATATCACCACCTGGATTCGCGGACAACCTTAGATGCTTTTTCCTCGTACCTCTTTACATAGTTATCCGGCTAGAGACGTGCGGGGATTTCCGTGCTATGGCTCTTATGCTGACAGCTACCGACTTTCGATATATCTTGAGTTGCTGGGCTGCACGAAGCATAGAAGGCTAAGCCGCGAGGTTACAGTGGTGCATACCGAGCACATGGCTAGAACATTACTTACCACGAACATTGCACGAACCTCACGGACATCTCGGGTATTTAAGTTTCTCATCCTTGCACTCAGCACGCGGCATTGCCGAAGGCTTCCCAAAACACAGGCAGCTTAGTCGATAGGTTTTGATGAACTGCACCAAGTATAAGGATGTAAAAAAGTTGCCCGCAGACATTAGTGTGCATAACAAAGAACGTAGAGCATTTTTTAAACGTTAATCATATAAACGATTTTGTTCAGTCCAAGTCCCAAGATGACATTCGTTAAAGTCTCCGAACTCCCAACGCCCGAAAACCATCAGCTCAGGCCATTCTGCTTATATCAGGTAGTCGTATTTCGATAAGATAGTGCTGTTAGCCTTATCCCTTGTGGAATAATGAGAAGAAAGAACAGATAGATGCGTGGATATTACGGCTATATGCCTTTGTCGAAACGACTATTCGTTTAGTAAAGGAATGTATGTAGGTCATATTCGTTTCGTTCGTTTAATAATGAAGGCATGCACCCGACATAGATGAATAAGGTCGTCAGTGTTATCTTCTCTACGTGTCTGATATTTCTTGCAGATGCACTTATCAGCTTCCATATTTTCATTTCCCAAAATTTTCAACTGTACAGAGACGTTTACATAGTCTTGACACGAAGACCTGCTCATACATACTTGAGTGAGTATTTAAAGTGTTTTAACAAGTTCAGCAAAAGCAAAGCAAGTGGTGCCTTCCCACAAATCCGTCCATCTACTTTGTTTAACCTCACGTGCACCCAGCCACACATCTTCCTGTTGAACATCATGTGCTGGTCTTCGCCACCAAGGTAGGCCTCCGCTACCTCAGGAGGTCGCCTGACAGGTAATGACAATGGCGGGCTTGTGAAGGACAGAAAGGGCATGACTCTGGTCAAGGCGGAAGCATAACCGGTGCAGATAACATCTGTCTCACGACCATCGCCATTCTGGCACCCCAATTATTTGTATTCGAGGTTTGTGTTACACCATCACCTAGCCAGAAACTCAAGTTGTGCTGAAAGTTTCATGACCGAATCAGACTTTGCCAGGTTATTGCATACAATGCGGTCAAGTACCTTGCAAAATGCAGATAAAAAAGCAGGTAATAGCTATTCGTATTTTTTTATAAACTTTGCTGTTTACCTGGTTTTTAAATCGTCTGCGACATGCTCTTTGAAGTGGCAAACGAAAAATTATCGTAATAGATAGTGCATTCTTCTCAGCACTGTCCTTCAAAATCCTGACTCTAAGCCAATGCCGCCCGTCAATCTCGTTAACGTTCAGCGGGTTTGGAATATACTAGAAACAGGTTCGCGAGTATTGGGACTTTCAATATCGTCTGGAATGCATCTCGTAATGACCAGATCAGAAATATAAAAAGCAGCACCATGGTAGACGCACTCGTCTCTCTCACGATAGGTTATCTCGATATGGCCAAGGGATGATCATCTCAGCAGTCACCTCTTAGGAGCGTGCACAGCTGAGCCATAACATTCAACGTAGTTGAAAAAGAAACACAATTGCTCGAATTTCCTCCTTAAGTCGTCACTACTGTGCGAAACAGGTACCATTACCATTTGACCACAATAGTAGCTTGAGGCGGGACCTTCTCGAAGCAAAATCCTTGTTATTTTAACAGACGGCGGAAAATCGCCACATCGCTGGGCAAAATCCTTTTCATGCGGAAATGTTTATGCCACCGTCAAACCCCTGCGGTTACCCAAAGTTCAATGTTACCCGCATAACTTGGTAGGCCAAAGCTGCCCCAGTCAGAGGCAGCGCAGTAGGGGGAGGGGAAGGGGTGATGGGTGGGTCAAATGGAGCAGTTGTCCCTCCTTCCGCTTCCCGGCAGCATGGACCAGAATATGTAGACATTGTAGCTGCCCGTAGAATACACAAATTTCGATCAAGGATGGCCCTGACTGGGCAAGAGAGTGAGGTCGTGGATGGCAAGCAAGCTGGGCCGTGGATGGTTAACAACCTGGATCGTGGATGGTAAGCAAGTTGGGCTGTGGATGGTGAACAACCTGGATCGTGGATGGTAAGCAAGCTGGATCGTGGATGGCGGTAAACGGGCTGCAGGACTTTCTGAGCACAACAGACCGGACCTCATTCAGTATTCACGAGAAACGCAGAGTCCTGAGCCGGGCTGTAGTGTATTCCTGCCGTGGAAGTCGACCTGCTGCATTTGATGTGGATGCCTGCCAGACCACCGTGCTATTTCAAGGTCATTCAGACATCCACCCACGCCATAGCAACGCCATGCAAATCCTGCCACCCCACCAACCAGGCGGCGTCCAAGGCCAGAAGGGACATGATCGTTCAGCCACTCAGATTTAGCGTCCGTGAAATCGATTTCCTAATAGTGGACGACAATTGGCCCTCAAACAATGTTGAGACTGCCGTGCAAACTCTACCTGCAAAGCATGTTTTGTGCCACGTAATTTAGGAAGTTGAGCATGTTTTTCACTCGCTAGTTGTTTTGGAAATAAGACTAGTAATCGAGTAACTTAAGAACGATACCATAACCAAATACGCGAATGCAAGCAAAGATATTAATCTCACGGGTAAATATACAAAAACATACGGGAAAGGAACAAAATGCGGACACACGACATGTGGCTCAGCAAAATCTTCCAGACTGCGCTCCAGTTTCTCGACGAGTTTTAAGTATTTCAAGAAAGTGTCAATTTCGCACGGCTAGATTGGCAGTGCCTCAGCGTCATACA